ATAATACGGGTTTATGCACGTGGCGATAGGATTAACGAAAGTCAAATCTTAAAAGTTACGCAATACTAAAGGTGAAAGTACGAAGGAAGTGGAAACTAAGAAAGGGTTGTAGGTTTTCTTTAAATCAGAATTTACCCAGCACAAGGGAGAGACAAAAGTAGAACAAACTTCTTATGTTGTGTATGCAAAGTCACTAGGATTGTTCTCTCGAATTAATACCCATAACTCTGGTTATGTGTTTGACAGGCGGGTTCGAATTCCGTACGAAATGCTTGATGGAATGCTTATAGGCAACATTGAAGGCACTACTTCTGTCCACTTGGTGACTGCTATCACCAATCAAATGAGACAAAATACAGCATCTTATAGATTTTATTTGACCTTCTTTCGAACCATGAAGGAAGAAACTCAGTAACGCGTTTGTTAGTCGGCAGCTGAAAAATGACAGACAAAAGGTGGCAGCAGTATAAATCCGTTTTATGGCTCTAGATAATCTTGGATGTAGGACTTTACTACCCACATTCCCATGAAATTGAATTTTTGGAAGAGTTGTTTCTTTTTAACCGTTGTCAGTTTCTCTGGTGTTCATGTGTTTGCTTACAAATCTATTAGGATAATCCATATGGAGCAGCGTATTCTGAATGTATGTGTCCGAATTCATTTTCTAGGGAGTCATCTTATCGCCCTATTTGTGAGGCATCTGACCAGACTGAGTAAAAGCTGAATATCTAATTGAAAACAGTACTGTTCGCTTATATGTCTAATGCCACAAAATGTCTCATAGTTTAGTCAAAAGGTGTATCTCTGTGTCTGTGTGTGTGTGTGTACATACATTAATTATGAAAACATCAGGCAATTTACCTCAATACCTCATTTTTATCTCATTTATCTGTCTTATTTCATTTTATCGTGACTTCTGAGTGATACAGTATTCAAGTATTTGGTTTGCAGGGATTTGATTGGTTTCAGGATTTCATCATGAATTGACACATCGGTTAGAGAGCCAATGGAAAACCAGTACTGGAGTGCTGCATAGCTAGCTGTTTCGTCAACCTGGTTTGCGACGCTTCATCAGCATGCACCCACCCCTCTGCCAGGGATCGTACCCAGGATCTTCCGGCTACATGCCGAGGTTAGAGACCATTAAGCCACTGGGACCTGATCCAATGGCCAGTTCATGAACTCCAACTTCCACTAATTCACATACGATATATCTCGACTGGTGGTACTAGCCAATGTCAACGCTGGTGAATATTTATCTTCACACCCGACAGATGAAGAGTACCAAACTAAGTTGACGAAACAGCTGGCTGTCCAGTACTCCTGACTGGTTTTCCAATGGTTCTCTGACCGATGTCACCTTATGATCAAATCCTGATACAGTATTTTTTATCGATGACGTATTGAGTACAGTTTATAATTTATTATCGGTTCTATCTCTTATATTAGATGGTAGTATATTAGGGTGAGTAATAAAGAGATTTGGTGTCGAGTTTTGTGCGTAATTGCAGAGTGGTAAGCTGATCGTTGAGGTTGTGAAGCTACATCGATTGAGAAAGCTAGGACATGTTTTATGCATGCCTAGTCATCGCCTTCCTCGACTACGGGCAACGTCAACTGATGTTGGATTAGCATGGAAAAGAGTTACGGGTGGCCAAATCAAAACGTGGAATCAGTCCATGAAATCTTTAACAGTTGGTGGTTTAAGGCAGTCACTTAGGGAGGTGGAAGCTTCTTTGTTTGGCATCCAGTGGGGTATGCCACAAGCCATTGGCTGTAGACAGGCTGTCGGAGATTATCACTCACTGGGGAATGCAGCTACGTCTAGTTGGCGAGTCCTAAAACAGGACGAAGTGCGCATCCTGGATTTTACTGCTAGTCACCATCAACCAATTGACTTCAAGTTACCGGAGATATGTTGAATGGGGGGCAGATGTATTCACTCTTTGTCATCTGCCATATTTATTAAACCATCACATTTCTCCATGCTACTATTCTTTGTCCCTCACATTTCTGCTTATTATAATAATTTTTAAATCTCATCCTCTCCTATTCTTCATGAAATGTGACAACTTGAACTATACAAAGTTGTATGTTGAAACCGGTCGATTTATTATCCTAGAAATTTCTTTTCAATGTCTTTATATGCCTTTATTGGTTATTAAATTAAGCCTTTTGAACATGCGAAAAATGATGTCACATCCCACTGTACTTACCAATTTGAATGTACTTGTGGTTACACATACACAGGGAGGGCTCGCTCATCGATCTCTGCAAGCAAGTAAAGCCTGGCTTAACAGCATATCCTTAAATGGCCCCAGAAGCAAGTCGAATCCCCAGAATCCATTAATGGTGGGAAAGAGCATTATGAGGAGCAGTTTAATTTGCCCACAGCCACGCTCAACCTTCCGAGCATCCAACACCTCCCTGAATGGGATATAGATACAGGTCCTCCGTCACTAACTGAGGTTACTAAAGCTGTCACCAATCTGAAACTAGGCAAAGCAGCGGGACCTGATGGAATGACGCCAGAGGTATTTAAGTACGGTGGAGACAGCTTACTGTCCGGATTAACTGAGGTACTAGGCAGCGTTTGGGAATCAGAAGAAGTCCCATCGGGTTGGTGTAAGTCACTGATTATCCCCATATACAAGAAGGGAGACAAGTCTTCCTGTGATAATCACAGAGGGATTAGCTTGACTAATATAGTATCTAAAGTCTTAGGCTCAATAATCATGCGTAGACTGAGTGGTGCTCGGGAAGCACAAACACGAGAGAGCCAGGCAGGCTTTAGACCAGGAAGAGGGTGTATTGATCATATCTTCACCCTCCGACAGATTCTAGAACATAGGCATTCCTACCGGCGTCCAACAGTCATTATATTTCTTGACCTAAAGGCAGCATTCGACTCTGTCGATCGGGAAGTTCTCTGGAGATGCTTGGCTGTAAAGGGAATTCCAAGAAAATATATTGCACTGATTAAGGCACTCTACTCGTACTCATACAGCCAGGTGAGGGCTTACGGCGAGCTGTCATCTGAACTGATGACGACCAGTGGTGTCCGTCAAGGATGCCCATTATCTCCTTTTCTATTCAACTTCATCATAGATGTGTTAATGGACTTAACCCTAGGTGACTTCAGCGATTCAGGGATTGACTTGCTACCTGGGAATAATCTCGTTGACTTGGAATATGCAGACGATATAGTCCTTCTAGGCGAAGACGCTGACAAAATGCAGAGTCTTCTAAACACCTTGAACAGCAATCTACGAATGTTTGGCATGCGATTCGCTCCCGCCAAATGCAAGATGATGTTACAGGACTGGACTACATCGACGCCTAGTTTAAAAATAGGAAGTGAAGTGGTAGAGCACGTTGACCGCTTCACTTATTTGGGAAGTACCATCAGCCCCAACGGGCTGATCTCTGACGAAATCTCAGCACGAATACAAGGGGCTCGTTTCGCATTTGTTAGTTTACGCCGACTCTGGCGTAGACGAGATGTTCGACTATCGACCAAAGGGCGGGTGTACTGCTCATCAGTCCGCTCCGTCCTCCTTTATGGTTGTGAGACCTGGCCACTGAGAGTGGAAGACATGAAAAGACTAGCTGTCTTTGATCATAGGTGCCTGCGTTCTATTTCCCGTGTAAAGTGGCATAATAAGGTGAGCAACATGGAGGTTAGGCGTAGAGTTCTAGGTAAACAGGGGAAATCAATCGACGAAGTCGTGAAGCTACAAAGACTGAGATGGTTAGGACATGTGTTACGTATGCCAAGTCATCGCCTCCCTCGACGAGCTATGTTAGCGGATATAGGGTCAGGCTGGAAAAAAGCTAGCGGCGGTCAAACAAAAACTTGGCACCAGTCAATGAAATCCACAACAGTTGGTCTAAGCCACGTAGGAAGGTGTAGACTTCCAGGCTGGGGTCCTCGGGACGGTAAAAATCTATGGTTGGAAACAATTGGTGACATGGCTCAAAATCGTTCTCAGTGGCGCAGATGCATCCACTCCCTGTGACTTATGATCTTCAATGAAACTGTTTTGTATTTCTTTATTACTCCTTTGTCTCACACCTCTGCTCACTGTTTCTATTATGCTTTTCTTGTACTTTCTTCTCTTGCTTCGCGTGCTACACGGAATGTGGCGACTTGAACTTCCGCACATTTGTGCAAAGTTCTATGTCGAAAACAGACAGACAGAAGAACGGACCACCTAGCTCCTCTATCACGAAACATATTATAGAGACAGGACATAAAATTGGTGTTTTCACACGTCTTTTAAACCTATCTATAGAACGTGTTTAGGAGAGAGCATATCCTAAGGTTAGTGGAAGAGCCCAAGCTGGCAACTAAAAAGTTTAAACCGCCTTTATGCTTTCAAAGCAACAATTCGTCATTACACTAAATCACCTTGCTTGTGTAGACTAGGCTTTGATACCAGTCGGGGAAGGGAGATGTACTATTACCTCTGTCATTTGGTTTAGTGATCATCATTGTTATTTTCACCTTCAAGATGTCCTTTCAATTTGACCTAAGTCTATTTTCTCACCTCTTAACTCTTTATTCCTATGACAAGTCTGTGTATGATCAGATTGTTTGAAATAAGCGCTACGCAAATGCTATTATGCGATTCAATTATATCATGTCTTGTTATTTTTTTATTTCTTCACGTTCCCAGTGGAACATAGGCTTCAACCTAGAGACTTGAAGTTTCTGTAGCAGTGGTGATTATTTTTACAGGATGGGGTTGCTAGCCTCATGCCCAACCTTTACTCCTTACCAGCTTTATTACTGGTTTGGCGAGGTGAAGGAGCTCATCGGCCAGACCACATGAGGTATGGGCGGCCAGCGTCCTAACCGCTGTGCCACCGACGCTCATGTCTTCTTACTACTTTGTCTAAATTCATAAAGGGAACCAATTGTCTTTAATATTATATTATTATAATTTCTATTACCATTGTATATGTGTTTAATTAGAATTTTTTTTGTATCTTTATAGATCTGTGTATGTTCGTGCACATTCTGAAGCTGAAGCATTAGCTAGTCTTGCTCAATTGATTACATCAAAAAGTTTAACTACTATTCATCGAATGAATGACATTAAAGTCGACTGTCATATCTGTTGTAATAGCAACGACAACGATGAGAACAACAACTACAATAACAACGCCAATACAAACACCAACAATCAAAAGACTACTGAATTACATAAAAGTCAGCTAAACAGTATCTATGACAGACACTTAAATTTAGAATCTTTATTAGTTCAAGCAATTGATCGTATCGATATGCTATTAAAGTCCACTTCTCCTGCTGCACCTGCTCCCTCTCCTACTCCTAGACCTACTACATCGAATGAAACTAATTTAAATCCTTCTTCTTTGAATTGTCAACTGAAATCTATAAATTATCCTAACCCCAAGTTACTGCCGTTATCATCATCATCATCCGCTAGTAAGAAACTGTCATGGGATAATAGAAGCACTGCTTTGAAGAATGCTGATTCATCATTGTATGAGTACAATTCATGTTCAAAAGAAACAAAACATCATCATCATCATTTATTATCTGATAATTTAGATTTAACAGAGTTAATGAATCTTAAACATGAGTAAGTCACTTTGTCAGTCAATGTTATATTATTTATTTTCAAATTCCCATTTACGCATTTAAAAAGAAAAAACATATTAAGCGAAGAAATATGCATTCCTTTTCATCGGATGTTTTTTTACCACTCAAGTGGTTATTTTAGTTAATCAATTTTAGGTATACCTAGACGGGTGTGTGTGTGTGTGTGTGAAATTAAGAGGTTAAAGGTCATCAAAACATCAGTTAACTAATAGATGTTAGTAAAAAAAGACATCTAATTTTCGAAGAAAAGGGAGGGAGCGAAACTTAGTTACGCAATTCAAGATAAGTTAGTTTCTTAGGCGTCATCAACAAGTTATTACATAATCAAGAAATATGTAAAATAATGATGGTGACCAAGAAGAATACGATGACTCAGAAGAATTGCGTAATACGCAAACAAGCTATTAGAATTAGCTAGAATTGTAAAAATAACAAAGTCAAAGGATAGTTAGTTACAAGGAGATGGAAAAAATCGTTTTTAAAAACTTAATATATATTATGTGTTTTACGAGTTGATCACGGATTGATATCAGTTAGAGAACCATTGAAAACCAGCGCTGGAGTACTGGCCAGCTGCTGTTTCGTCCTAGTTTGGGAGTCATCGGCAGTACGCACTCATTGGAGTTCGAACCCAGGACCCTCTGGTTACAAGGCGAGCTGGCTCGTATACCATTCAGCCACTGGGACTCGACTCCAAAATGGCCAGCTCATGAATTCTAACTTCTACCAATTCGTGATTTAGCGCAACCCCAACCATTGTCGTTGGTGGGACATCCATCCACATACGTGACATCTAACTGGACCTCACTGGTCACAACTTCTCACTAGAACTTCAGGAAACTCTATCCTGTAGCAAGTCACTAGCGAGCATCAGATTAATTTTCAATGGTTCTCTAACTGATATCAATCCGTGATCAACTCGTAAAAAATAAAATTAACCCTTACAAACAAAACTATAGATAATATATTATGTAGTTGGTCATGGCAAAGAAAGGGACTGTACGAATTTCTTTTGAATTCACACACATATACACAGATGTGGCTTGTTCAAAGGAATTTCGATTGCGTTTGCTGTATCCATGACAGTCGTGCTCGTAGACCATGTGGTGAGAGTTTGGGTGATATACGATTGATAAATAACTTTAAAAGCTTTGTTAGAGTCGACTTGATGTCTAGTCAGTATCGACGAGATGGTATAGTACTGGTTTGCGTATAACTTTATTCGGACCTTTTAACTTCGTTACTTTTTACAATTCTTTCTATTTGCATTAACTTGTTTGCGTATTACGCAATTCTTCTGAGTCATCGTATTCTTCTTGGTCACCATCATTATTTTACATATTTCTTGATTATGTAACAACTTGTTGATGACGCCTAAGAAACTAACTTATCTTGAATTGCGTAACTAAGTTTCGCCCCCTCCCTTTTCTTCGAAAATTAGATGTCTTTTTTTTACTAACATCTATTAGTTAACTGATGTTTTGATGACCTTTAACCTCTTAATTTCACACACACACACACACACCCGTCTAGGTATACCTAAAAGTGATTAACTAAGTGAACCGCTTGATTGTTCAAAAAAATTTTGATATGAAAAAACTATATATTGAATATTACAAATCACAGAGAGTGAATGCGCCAACCATTGACAACGACGATTTTGAGCCATATCACCAATTGTCTCCAGCCACCGTCATTGGTTCTTACCATCCCGAGGACCTCAATCATTCAGTCAAGAAGTCTACACACCTCCCTCCCTGGTGGGTGGCTGGCTGACTTAAACTAACTGTTGTGGATTTATTTCATTGATTCATAAAGCCATGTTTTCGTTTAACCACCATGTGCTAGCTCTTTTCCAACCTGATCCATCCTATGTCAGTCGGCTAACATTGCCCGTTGTCGAGGAAGGTGATCGATGGCTAAGAATACATAACTCGGTGTAATTTCACAACCTTATCGATTGATTTCCCCACCTTACCTTGCTCTCGACTGACGTCTCATCTCAATATTGTCCTCCCTATTGTACTAATTAACACGGGAGATAGAACGCAGACAGTTACCTATGATCACAAAGACAGCTACCTAACCTCTTCATGTCTTCCACTTTCCACGACCATGTCTTACAGACAGCCAGATATCACGTCTACGCGAAAGATGGCGTAAGCTGGCAGGCAAATTTCAAACGAGCCTTCTGTATGCTTGCTGAGATTTCGTCAGCGATCAACCTGTCGCCACTGGCTGGCTGGTTGATGCAACTTCCCAAGTAGGTGAAGTGGTCAACACGCCCTACCACTTCACACTCCTCCCTATCTTTAAGCTAGAAGTGAGTTGATTTAGTCCAGTTCTGTAGAATCATATCACTTCATTCAACAGCTGTCTATATGATAATGTCTGCCACGTGTCAGTTGATCCATCTAGTTCTTATATTCTTTTTACAAGTTGATCACGGATTGATATCAGTTAGAGAACTATTGAAAACCAGGGAGGTTCATCCAGATGTCAATTATGAGGATGGATTTCTAACTGATGATATTGTTTAGCTCCAGTAGCTCTAAATCACCAATTGGTTAGAAGTTAGAATTCATGGACCGGCCATTGACGAGTTGGGTCCCAGCGGCTGATTGGTATACTAGCCAGCTCGCATTGTAACAGATATGTCCTGGCTTCTAACTCTGGCCGGTGGGTTTGGTGCATACTGCTGATGATTCCCAAACTACGATGAAACAGCAGCTGTCCAGTACTCCTTGATTGGTTTTCAACTGGTTCTCTAACTGATATCAATCCGTGATCCACTCGTAAAAACAAAACTAACCCTTACAAACCAAACTATAGAAAATCTTATAGTTTTGTTTCAAAATCATAGAATCTCACGAGTAATGAATAAACATTGAACACATTTACTGTTCAAACTACAGTAACCAGAGAGAGAGAGAGAGATCGAAAAACATGCGAAAATCGATAACAAGTGAGAGAAAAAAACATCAAAATAAGCATATATACATATATTATAGTTGAAACATTATATGGTTTAGTAGTAAAATAAATTAGTTGATCAAATCTGTGACAAATGGAAAGATGGTGAACATGTGACTACTGTTACTGTGCATTTCGTATCCATCGATCGATCGACCGGGTGCAACTAGTTTTTATCTGTATTGGGAACGAAAATAGTATTTTATTTATATGTATATAATTACTTTGTCACCTTTCTAATTCTAATAAATATTACATCATGACATTAATAGATTAGAGAATCAATAATGAAGGATAGATAGATAGATGGGTAGTAAGGTCAGTCATATGATCGATAGGGATAAATTTGAAGAGTATATTATTATTATTATTATTAATCTTGGCAAATCAATCAAACTACAATTAACATAGAGAATCAAATGTGATCGGCATTATAAATGACGAATATTCTACTGTACTACTGAGCGGATCATTGTAGGGAATAGTATAGAGAGAGGCATATAAAGACAACCCGATTAGCCAGTACACTTCTTTAGGCGTGTGGAATGTGCGTACTTGGAATAATGTAATTTTTACGTAGAATAACAGATTAGTACGTATAGGGTGTGACAAACGTCGTGTCAAGCTGAAATCAATTACGAAATATCGTGAAATGAGAGACAATGTGGTGGTGATTAGTCATAATTGATTCAGAAATGTGGGGTGGTGTAGGAAAAATTGACAAGTCAGTTCAAGGTTATAAAAGGTGGCAGGTGAGTCAGTAGCTAGTACAAAGTAGTATGTTTTTAAGAGGCGAAGATAGTAAGACTACAATGAGAAGTTCATCATAAACGAACTAATGTGTGAAATGAAACAGGTGGAGGCATATACTGAGAAAAGAGATAATATCACTAATAATGTCCGGATAGTATAAATGGAAAATTCGATAGCATTGAGAGAATGTTGGAATGAAGGAATAAGGGGAAGAGACACTCTTGGTGGGAAGAAGAAACATTAATCCAAGTTTGGCCACGGTAGGTACAACCTCTCAACGTCTTCTTTTTTGATACAAGGATCCAAGTTAGTCCATGGTATTACAACAGCTTCAGCTATGTGTAAGAGACATAAGCGAACTGTACGTGATAACAACCGCAGAATTCTTAACAATGCAGGCAGGAATAAAAGTGGCTGTCATTCACTCTGCTCACAAACTCAATTAGAAACAAGCTTTGTCGGTTTAAGGATTAATCTTGTGGAGCCTTTAAAACAAAACAATTTATTTTATCTAATACCCTGCTGGAATGATTGTGAGGTTAAATACATAGGTCAAACTAGTAGAACAGGGGCAGTCAGTCAGACTAGCCGAGCATAAAAACCTAGCAAAATCTAGATTGGTTGACCCGAATAAGATAAGAAATTTAGAGAATAGTTCAGCTATAGCACCACATGCAGATGCACACAACCATACAATAGGATGGGACGGGATAGGATGACAGTTTTAAAATCTAATGTCACAGGATGGAGGGGGAGATTGATAACAGAAACTTTGTTTATCGAATCAACTGCGAATCAACACGTGTAACAGGAATGGTTCAACACCTCTACAACCAGATATCTGGAAAATTCTACTGCCCCAATGACGACAAATAGAAGAGGACAAAGAAAACTATAAAACTCAAGTTTCAAAGTCGTGTGATTACTATTGATATGATTATGAACAATCAACAATTGTGTTCAAAACCTTGTCATCCAGTAAATAATAATATTGTTTCACTGACTGTGTGTGATATATCTAACAAACAAACTAATATGGAATCACATAATACCATGGTTCCCAAGTTTTACACATATATTGATCGTAGTTCTTGTTTTTATTCGTCTGATTCGTTTTATATTTCTGCTTTGGTTTTTTCTTTATTTTCTCTTGTAGATATATGATGAGAGCCTTCAATTTATGCTTAGATCAATTGCATACACGCGTTGAGCCGTAATTATCCGCGTCTTCCCTCTCTCTCCGTGTGTGTGTCTCTCGTTGTTAGAACAGACGAATTGAAAGTCTTCCTTACAAATTCCTCATTGTTTCAGTATTACTATTTATTATTACTGAATCTTCTATTTAGTTTGTATATGTGCTTTTGCCTGTGTGTGTGTGTGTGTGCGTGTATTTTTGTCTTTCGTGAATTTATGTTCAATTTGATTTTGTTTTTATATATGTATACATATATTTGCGTTTTATATGAAAAAAATACACACACAACAGAGCCAACGAGTACAATCTTACTTTGTTTTGTACTCACTCTTCCTTCCTTCCTTCCCTCCCTCTCTCTCTCTCTTTTCTATATAACCCTTTTTCACTATGATGATGATAAAGACATTTGTTGATTATGCATTTTTGCCTATTGTTCCTTCCCCTCCTACTCCCCGTCGTCGTTGCTGCCACAGCTGCCGTCATTGTCGCCGACACTCTTTTCTATATCATGTGGGACGCCTTAAGAAAATATTTTTCTTCTTCTTATTATTATTATTACTATTAGTATTGTCAACCACTTTTGACAGGATAATGTTATGTAATGTTGTTCTCAATGGTGTCAATATTATTTAGATTTCAAATATATACATTTATCACTAATATCATTATTGTTCCCTTGGGTTCCTAGTGGAACATAGGAAGGCTTCAACTACACGTCTCCACTTGCCACTTCTGTCTTCCTTCTGCTGTATTTTTCACCTACATCCATGTTAGTTAGTCCATACTGTTTCAACTCCTGTCTCTTCACATGATCTCCTCCATGTCACCCTTGCACCGACGTCTGACTCACCGCTTCCCTTTCAGGTTCCACTCGAAGGCCTTACGTGCGATGTCACCCAGCGGCGGCCTCCTCAGCCACGAGTGTCCAATCAATCCATCTCCACTTTCTCCTGCATATTTATTGGGCGATTGGTTCTTGTTTTCAATATAGTTCCCATAGTTTCTTGTTGTTTGTGATTCTTTCCGGTCTGGCCATCTGATCTGCAGTATAGATCCAGCGAAGACAGTACAGTTGTTGATAAAGGTCTGCAACAGGCTGTTGGAAATATTGTTTGTGACCCACCCGCCAAGTTTCTGATCCGTATAGAAGAACTGACTGACTTGACGTTGTTTGTATTGAAAATCCGACTGAATTTTGTTGTTAATGCTGAGTTGAGTGACGAAGATTTCCAGATTGGTTTCAGGTTGACGAATGATGTGTTTCTCGCCTTCCCGATTCTCGATTTGACATCATCGTCCGTTCCGACAATGCTCCCTAGATAAGTGAGTGAATGAAGTAACCTCTTTCAAATCCCTCCCGTTGATGGTGATTGACGCTGGATGCTGCTTCTGTTGTTATTGGTGTTGGTTGGTTATTTTCATAACCTCCGTCTCCACCTTGTCTAAGTTCACCTGGAGTCCTGTCTTCGCCGGCTGCTTCTTCGACCAGTTTGTCTGTTTTCGCTTGTAAGTCTTCGATTTTGTGACAGTGACATCAAATATAAGTCATCCACGCGCGAAATCCAGGTCTTCTAGGTTCTTCACGTCCGTCGGTCAAGTATATTCCTATCTTCTCGTTTCCCACTGTCTGACGCACAATCCAGTCAGTCCACCACAACTAGGAATATCATTGGTGATAATAAGCATCCTTGTCTGACTCCTATGTTTATTCCAAACGCCTCGCTGAATTTTCCGTTGTGGATCACTTGACATGTGCCGTTGTCGTACAGCCAGCTGTTGAATAAGGTTGATGAATATTTGGGGTACGCCGTAGTACTCGAGTAGTTTCCAAATTACTTCGTGGTCAACGCTGTCCGTCGAAGGCCTTCTAAAAGTGTATAAAGTTGAGGTAGAGGTTTGATCGCCATTCAATGCTTTGTTCTGTGATGATGATGATGCGTAGAGTTGCAATTTGGTCAGAACATATTATTATTATTATTGGTGTATCCTTTAGTTCCTAGAGGAACATAGGGCTTCAGCTGAGCACCTCCATTGCCTTCGGTTTTCTGAAAACTTTTCCACCCTGCTCCAGGTCTGTCCACATGCTTTCATCTCCTCCTCGCATGACCTCATCCAAGTCACCCTTGGACGACCAACTCGCCGCCTCCCTTTCGGCTTCCACTCGAGCAATGGCTTGTTTAGTGATGTCACTTGATGGTTTCCTCAGCGTATGGCCAATCCATCTCCATTTCTTCCTGCCTATTTGTTTCACAATCGGTTCCTGCTGGGTTGGTTCGCTCATTGCCAGAGATCCCTCCCTTTTGCTGATCTTTTCTGGCTGGCCATCTGATCTTGAGTATTGAGCGGAGACAGTTGTTAATGAAGGTCTGAAGTTTGTTTGAGATGCTCTTTATGACTCGCTGGCCAAGTCTCTGATCCGTATAGTAGCACTGACTGACTTCACATTGGAGTTGAAAATCCGGATCTTATTTTCATTTCCATGCTGAGTGCTGTTGACCTCCACACAGATTTGTGAGTAATGAATAAAAATGACAAGTGAGATAATACCTTCAGTGTTAGTAATGAGGGACGTGGATATACAGACTAAATCAATGAGACTGGAAATAAATAAATAGGGTCACAGTAGGAATAGGGATTATAAATGCTCTAGCATAGACGTATTAAGACCACTTAAGAAAGACTAATGGAGGAATAAACTATCTGTGTATATACAAATCTCTGGCTTTTTTTATTGCTACCGTCAAAGCTTCAACAATACACAAATGTGTTCATATACGTAATGATTTCAGACGGGTTATTTTTTATTGTCTTATATAGATAACTTTGAAGAAAGTAACACTGTAGAGATGAGATGACCAGTACAGACCAAAAGTTGTTCAGTTATTGTGCTCACCTCTTCGTTAGCTCACACAGGATAGTGTTTTTTAACACTCTTCGACAAATCCCTTGTCAAATGGCCGATGATACACAGGAGCAGGTGAATCGGTAAACGCACACACACAGAGTTGGTCAACTGCATGATTTTGACCTTCAGGTTATTTGACACAGTGTGATGAGAATACCAACATCGAAATGATAACTAAGGAGTTCAAAGGCTGCCATCATGCTATCCGATTCATGTCGGAATCAGAGATGAACCTGGAATTCCATTTTTTGTTGTTGTTGATGTTTTTCTAAACATAGAGATCTGATGGTTCTCTTCAATGATCGATTTATGGAATGGTCAATACACAAATTTTCATAGTTGGCTCCCTTTGAGAAAACACAGAAACCTGATCCACTCGTTCTCCTCAAGAATCAGAAGGATATGCACCGGTGTGTGATACAATCGATGGGGAACTGAGGCGACTCAGACAAGTTCTCATAGAAAATTCATATCCTCCAAGATTCATCAAGAAAAACATGAAGTTAAAGCAAAAGCCTGAAAGAACCCAGACGGTGACGAAGAAACTGCTACTTAGAAAGAACGTTGAATTCAAAGGTGATACCACAGCCGAGAACCTGAAGAATCCCTTATGCAGATCACTTAGAAAAGTCTTTTTCTCTACAGCCAACAAATGATCAATGGATGTGTGAAGGCTATAAACTGCCGCTTTGGGCCACTTCAATGTGTGTTTACAAATTCACCTTCTTCTATGGAGCTAGTTATATTGGCCGCCTGCACAAAGTGCACACTTTCCAAACGCATCTCTGAACATTATCCGGCATGGTTAACACAAGGACAATACAACCAAGGCAGTTACTAGTTCAATCCTCGAACACTTAGTGAACTGAAGCCACACAGCTCCACCAGAGTCGTCTTTCAAGAACATCTACAAGGTGAGGCCAAATAGTACAAAGGGCATTAGGTTTCGGCTTTTGTATATTGCGGAGGCGCTGATGATTCGTTAATACAACGCCGATCTTTGTATACAAAAGAATTTGTCCAGTCTCTTATTCTACCTTGGTCTTAACCTCCTCATTAGTCGCTCTGTGTAGAAAAAACTTTTTTTTTATTAATTTTTATTAATATTCACTTTTACTTTTTAGTTTACTTTAATAATTAATTCACTGTTATCACCCTCATATGTTCCTTTTGTACATTTTCACACATGTTAAATTGACACTCAAACACCTTTAAGCTTATCAAATTCCTAACCCTTTCTTCATTCGTGCCGTTGAGGACCATGTAGTTTACAACTTTTATTTTCACTTCTAAAGACACTTCTGAGTAATTATCTCTTACTATGTCTTTTCAACCCGACCTTCCAAATTATTACACATTGTTTTCAGGATTTCATCATGAACAGACATTGGTTAGAGAACCATTGGAAAACCTGGGAGTACTGGACAGCTGTTTCGTCCTAGTTTGGGACTCTTCAGCAGTACGAACCCACCGGGATTCGAACCCAGGACCTTCCGGTTACAAGGCGAGCTCGTATACCATTAAGCCACTGGGACCCGATCCAATGGTCCTTGAATTCTAACTTCTGCCAATTCACGACATAGCGCGACCGCTAGCCAATGTCTTCGGCGAGTATTTGTCCTCACACCCGACCAGCTGCACCCTACTGGTCACGACTTCCCACCGGAACCCAGGTAACTACCTACCTGAATAGGGCCAGTCGCCAGTGAGCATCTCATTGGTATTCAAGTGTTGGTTTGTAGGGATTTGATTGGTTTCAGGATTTCATCATGAGCTGACATTAGTTAGAGAACCATTGGAATACCAACTGGGAGTACTGGACAGCTGTTTCGTCCTAGTTTGGGACTCTTCATCAGTACGCACCCGCCGGGATTCCAACCCAGGTAGGTAGTTACCTGGGTTCCAGTGGGAAGTCGTGACCAGAAGGGTGCAACAAGTCGGGTGTGAGGACAAATACCCACCGAATACATTGGCTAGTGGTCGCGCTATGTCGTGAATTGGCAGAAGTTGGAATTCAAGGACCATTGGATCGGGTCCCAGTGGCTTAATGGTATACGAGCTCGCCTTGTAACCGGAAGGTCCTGGGTTCGAACCCCATGGTGTGGGTGCGTACTGCTGAAGAGTCGCAAACTAGGATGAAACAGCTGTCCAGTACTCCCAGTTGGTATTCCAATTGTTCTCTAACTAATGTCAGCTCATGATGAAATCCTGAAACCAATCAAATCCCTACAAACCAACACTTGTATTACACATTGTCATATTTAATATGACCTTTGACCTGAAATATTTCTAGAATAGTACCACTACCTAACTTCCGCTTATTACACTTAGTAATTTTATTCATTTTGGCCTTTGATCAGAAGTAATTCTGGAACTTTCGCACACATTTACTACTATAAATACACTAATGCCCAGCCTCCTAGTTGACGGTGACTTCTTCGAAAAGGAAATTTGCTTCTTCGCTGCCACTAACCGTCTTTTATTTTCTTCATGACACTAGGACATATGAGACGGATAAGCAAATAAACTATATTGAATTAGAAAATCAAAACAAGTGATTCAGCGAAGAGACTGTTTTCAACGAATTCATCATCAAGGGAATTGAATCATAGATGTGAATGCATATAATAATAATAGTAGTGTGAAATGCAATTAACATCAAAATGTTTATGATTGAAATGATGATTAAATGTCAAGTGGCAAAACATAATCTCCACCTTTAAAGTCATTTACAAGGCAAAGAGTAATTTACCGAAATCCCTATGTGCCCGACTCATCTGTATTGCTGAAGCCGTCTTTGGCCATCGAAACAGAAAAGCCAGATCTCTGTGTACAGAAAAAAATTCGTTCAACCCCTCCAACCT